TGTAGTACGCAAAGATTGGGCTTGCTAACAGTGCTTAATTTTAGGTGACATCAAAGGGTATTATACAGAACTTGGCATTTATTGAGTGGCTTATATCTGGAACTCTCCCCATACTAGGCCATTTAATCTACACATTAGCATCATTTTTCATTATACACTGGAAGAGCTAACTTGCACAAGGTGACATCTAAGTACTGGAAGCAAATTCTGAATCCCGATCTGATCAAAAGCTCTTTCCGCTCTATAAAGCTGTGTTCATAACACAGAATGGGAGCTACACACTCCAAATAAGGTATAAATGGGATCAAGGACAGAGAAACTAGGCTCACTTGCTAGGGTAAAAAGCTAAGCGGTTACGACAGAAAGGCGGTAGCTCAAACACGGTTGTTTAAAGAACACTCACGTCTGTTTTTCTTTCACGACCAGTCCCAAGGCAAGCAGCCAAGCCATTCAGAGACGCAAGTTGCTGCCATATTTTTGCTCCATACTGTCCCAGAGGGTGCTGTCCTTGCATGCATTATTGATGATGCGCTCCCAGGAAGGAAGCGGCACGAGGGGAGCACACATTTACATTTTTCAGGTCTAGATCTGGAACCAGCCTCATCACGTTGTTCACATTCCACTGCTAAGAACTTAGTCCTGTGGCCTTCGTCTGGCTGCAAGGAAGCCGGAAAGTGTATGGCCCGACAGCTACGCGCCCAGCTGTCCACTTGCTTACACAATGAAGAGAACATTCTGCTAGACAACCAGCACACTCTTGTATCCTTTTCTCAGAGTAAAATCAGCACAGAATGAAAAAAATAATCTGCAAATAACCTCCTTCAAACCGACAGGAGTTTACAGTTAGGATCTTCAAAGTAGAGTGCTGTACAAAACTCTATCAAGAGGACTAAGAAAATATGACTATAATGTAATTAAATGAAGATGGGACCGATTCCTTGTACTCAGGCAACCAACCAAAATGGGTTATTCACCAGAATAAAGAAAAAAAGGAAATTTGAAGACCAGAGGAAAAAGAGTCAAGGAATAGGGTATATCACTATTTATCAATCTTTCCCACAGTAAGTGGCAACAGTATGCACTGAGGGGCTGGAGGGCCTCTGTTGGCTCTGTTCTTCCCTTCTTCCCTCCTTACTGCTTGGCAAAAGCACAAAAACAGCTCTGCAATCCATAAGAGATATAAAAACATTCCCCTAGGATGGCATCAGATAAGCTATCCTCTGGTTTAGGAAGATGAATTCAGAGGGGAAAAAAGAGCTGGGCCTGAGAATCCCAATATATATGACTGAGTTCCTTTCATGTTTCATGAAGAAATCTGTCGCTCATTCTAGAGCTAGTGCAAGTCTATGATGCTGAACAGACAAATCCCATGTCCTTGGAAGAAATACCCATAATTATTTGTGCCCATTTTTCCATGTGACCAAACAGAGGCAAGACTAAAAAACAGACTCATCGATCAAGTAGACTTAAGTATCCTCAATTGAGGACATCCATTTAGAGACCCTGAAAGTGATTTTCTAAAGAACATTTATGCTTCTTTCTTCTAATTTTATACTGACCAAACAACATTTTATTCTACAGTTTAGTCTGAGTGAACATCAGAAGAGTCTTTCCCAAATGTAAGTTAAAAGAATAACACTTACTGAGCACTTACCAGGTACTATGCAGTTATACCATTTTCCATGTAGACATAAATTAATTTAACCCTCACAAGGGAGATCTTGTGATCCCCATTTTATGGGTGAGGAAACACATCTGAGAGGTCAAGTAACTTGCCTAACTAGAAAGCGGTACATTTGGCATTCGCATCCTGGCCTCCTGATTCCTACGTATGGATAGGCCTCAACCATCATCTGTCATTTATCTATCAGGAGTATCTTCTACCATAAATGAAGAACTTGGCATTCTAATTTATAAATTAGATCTTAGAAATTTTAGAAGGTGTTACACACACAGCATTGCTGAGCCGAAGAAATCAGTTTCTAGACCTGCAAAGCCAAGGCCCCGATCAGATGTGTGGTTTGAGAACTCTGTGAAGCGCTGCCCGGGTGGTCCAGTGAGGCCCCTTTTCTTATATGTCCTAATTGCACCACAAGACTTTTCACTAAGATGCTAATTTGCAAGTGGTTTGGAATATTCACAGACCATGAAGGCGATTCAAGAACTGTTAATTTTTATAGGGGGTCCCAAACCAGTTAGAAGGAGACAAAAAATCCACTCAAAAGTCAAATCTATCTCTTTTATTCTATCACCATAGTGTATTTTTACAGGATTAAAAAAAGTTGAGATGAATTTTCCCAGCTAAAGCACTTTGCCATTAGAAACAATTAACATTTCTCAAGTCTCTGATAAAAAGAGCATTAGGTGAATTTAAGTAGACTAATCAGAAAAATCTAAGAGGCAAGAAGAGGTTTTCTCTATTTCGAACTCTCCAAATGAGAGGAAATAGTTGCTCAAAGGAGCTTTGAGAATATTATACAAAGACAACTAGATAAATACCAATCTGGAATTCTAATACAGAAACACTGATTAACTATGAGAGGACTTCCTTCACAAAGGACGCTGGCAAATCATGATTAAACAGAGGCTTCACTCCTAAGTTAGTATCAAAAGTATTTGTGGCCTAGTGCGGTGGCTCACACCTATAATCTCAACACTTTGGGAAGCCTAGGAGAGGACTGCCCGTGCCCAGGAGTTCAAGACCAGCCTGGAGAACTTGGTGAGACCTCATCTCTACAATAAACCAAAAAAATTAGCCAGGTGTGGTGGCATGCGCCTGTAGTCCGAGCTACTTGGAAGGCTGAGGCAGAAGGATCGCCTGAGCCCAGCAGGTGGAGGCTGTGAGCATGTCACTGCAGTCTGGGCAATAGAATGAGACTTTGATTAAAAAAAAAGAAAAAAAGTATTTGTGTTTCTTTGAGAGATCTGGTTCTGACCTGACTCATGCTTAAAGGGCAAGTTATGAAAGTAATGTGATAAAATTCAACTAAATGCTATCACAAACTTTTTTCAAGCTTCGGGCACAAAGCAAATCTCTTTTAGCTAAAAATTTGATTGACATGAACTTACAGATAGGTGCAAAAATATTTACTTAAAATCCTAAAAATATATTAACAATCACCAATATTAGTAGAGGGGAAAAACATTTAGATATAGGCATATACCTGATTATTGACATGTAATAGTTCTTGGAATTCTTAACTTTTGTAGAAAATAAAATTTTGTACATGTATAAATCATATTGCAGAACTTCTAACTAAATTAACAATTTTAAACATTTAATTTCAGCCCCTAGTGAATGCAGTTACCTCAGAACTAACTTCTCTTATTAATGGCTCTCTTCTGCAATGTGCAATGATCACATTAAAAGTTAGAAAAGGCCAGGCTCAGTGGCTCAGCCTGTAATCCCAGCACTTTGGGAGGCCAAGGCAAGTGGATTGCCTGAGCCCGCGGGTTCGAGACCAGCCCAGGCACCTTGGCAAGACCTCATCTCTACAATAAATAAGTAAATAAATAGCTGAATGTGGTAGCACATGTCTAGAGTTCTGGCTACTTGGAAGGCTGAGGTAGAAGGATCGCCAGAGCCCAGTGGGTTGATACTGGGGTGGCCATGAGTATGCCACTGCACTCCAGCCTGGGTGACACAGTGAGACTCCATTAAAAAAAAAAAAGAAGTTAGAAAAAGTAAAATTACACAATGTTAACATTTTTTGCTGAGATTTCAAATACATTAAGAAATTTATGAAATTCATTTTGGAGAAAACTCCAGAGCAAGGTATCACACTGCTGAACCCTTTAACAACACCCTCTAATCTACAATTTCTCCAATACTGAAATACACATAACAAGAATTTTTCACAGCAAACCTGGTCAACTATACCAGTAACCTAAATTTCCTTTGTTTTATTTGGTTATTATTATTTTTTAAATTGTCACTTTGTTTTATTCTCATTTTTCTGCTGCAGATTACTCATTTTTATGTTAGCAAAAGATCACTATTTGGTACTCAAATGAAAATACTTACTAGAGAACTTCTAAACTATATTCACAACTCAACCACATCCTCTTTAAATATCCTTTCCTAAGTATAGCCAAATGTTCTTTAAAAATCACCCTTTTTCATGCCTTTTGTGCCACAATAGGTAACTTTCAATATTAAATTTATGTGTATTTCTTCAATAATGTGACAACATAACAGAGTAGAGGTGAAGGCCAGCTGGGTATGAATCTGTATTCCACTGCAGTGGTCCTATGATCCATCACAGAGGAGCACAAAGGGGAAGATAGGGACAAGGGAGGCCTCCCGGGAGTGGGAGCAGGGGAGGAAGGGAGGATCAAGGGTGAGAAGACGCTAAGCTTATCATCCTAAGAAGGCTAAATGGCAAATAGTGTCCAAATTGCTAATCTGTCCTTATGCTACACTTTTCTAAAGTACTTAACTTATACATACTAAAATCTCCACTGGTCTAAAATATTTTAATAGTAAGATGAAAAATGTTCTACGGTCTGATCTTAATTTCAAAATCTGAGTATGAACTTCTGCATGCACTGCTGAACTGAAACAAAACCAGGATCCACCAGACATCCATGGGTCAGTTTTTCCAATTTAATAATTTCAAAGGATTACGATGAAAAATGAACACTCTTTTCAATATGGTCAGAACAACAATAACAAGTAAAAAATTTCTTAATTTTTGAAAACATTTTTTTCTTTCTGGTCAGAGTCACCTATGTTAGATCCTTTGTAATATCACTGCTATCATCTTTCAATAAATGTCGATCTACAAATTAATTAACTTTTTGGAGACAAATCCCTGGTATCCTATTCTCCTGATTCCCATGAAAGACTCACTTTTAAGATACAATTGCAGCTGCCCCACACTGCCAGTTACTGTGTCATACACACGCCTTAAAATTCTGTAATCAGCAACCACCAGGTGCCGTATCGCATTCAGCACACCACAGTCAGTCAATACAGACATCCCCAAACACACCAAGGCTGGTTTTGTCAAATGTTTTATTGAGTGTAGACATCTGGAGTACTGTAAAACATGCATTATCTGTAGATTCAAAAAGGAGCAGGCCACATTGTCCTCACTGTCAAATGTGTCAGGCTTGGCATACATGATGGAGATTAATGAAGTATCATGAGAGTAATATGGTTCCTGAAAAGCTTCTACAATTTGGAGGAGGGCCTTAATCACGTGAAAAGCAAAGCTGTTCACACTGAGTAAACTTGCATTTCACTGGAGGTACACAGTATTTTAATTTTAAAACAAATAAAAATAATTTGTTTGTAGAAGATTCCCATCTCCCCAACTTTATTTGTCCCTTCAGTTTTCAGAAATTTTAATTAAAAAAAAACCATATGCCTTTTAGAAGTTGTACGTTCATCTGAGCAATGACTAAAATTTATTTCTTCTTAGGTTGTTGAGGCGTATTAAATTTGAAGAAGATAATATCTCCATCTTCAACAATATAATTTCTGCCTTGTTGCCTGTACTTTCCAGCAGCCTGCAAACAGGAAATATCAAGAAAACAGGTTATTATTTTACAACTAAACACACAGGGTAAATGCTAAGAGCAGCACAAAAAGTATTATACTATTTGAGTCATTTTTTTTTTTAAATGAAATCTAGGAAGGCATATACGTTCAAAATTACACGTGGAGAGAAGCAAAGTATTCTTGATTTGGGCAGAACTAGACTTTCCATACATACATAATCATAATGTATTCGCCACTAAACTGTTGGAACATAAATGTAATTATACCAATATCATTAAGTTTCATTACATGCTGTTTATGGTACATTTCTGATGTGTCTGCAAACATCCAGCAAGTCACTGTAACAAAACAGATCAAACCAGGCAGGAAAAAAAGTTATATAACTAGTTAAAAGCTGCTTTATTTGTTAAAGAAATACTTTGGTGACAACAGTAATGTCAAAAAGATAGTTTGCTATAAGGAAAACTATGATCAATTGTAGTGTACAGATTCTGAGCGACCTTGTAGTTTTTTATGTAGTCTCGACAATGACTATACACACAAGTATGTGTTAGAACTCATCACGAAGCTTACTGACTAATGGTCCTAGTTACAAGCAGACTCTAACAGGTTGGAATTGTAGCAACAGATATTTTTTCCACTTGTAAATTAGTCGGCAGAGCAACTGATTCCACCTGTTGGCATGCAGATCCAAACATGCAATCTGCTGGGAGTTTTAACACAACAGGCAGCATTTCCAGAAAACCAGGATCACCCCATGGCACAAACTTCACCCCAAGTACAACAGGTTCTTCAGCACCCATGCCTGACACTGCACACACTGACATGGTCCAACATGACCCCATCATCGACTATGCAGCAACAAGGACTTGAGGATCTTTTAGAAAAAAATTCTCAAAGTATTTCTCTTCTGTTAGAATTTACTGAGAACATGAAACCTTTGCCGGACAGGATCGGTACCTCCCTTTGAAGATATTGATAAGAATGTTCAAAGTCAAGTGAAACTATATTAATCCACAACAAAAACACTAAGATCATACATCTGATATTAAAATCAACAACCAGATTGCAGGCCCCTATTAAGTAAATTTTCACTGATCTGGATTATATATAGACTCATCTAGATTTTATGAAGAATATATGAAGCTTATTTTTTAAAAGCTAATGAAACCTACCATTCTAAAAGGCACACACAAACACAAATATGCATTTTTTGTAAAGACATGCAGTGCATTGAAAGCCATATGCCACTTATTTCTAGAATCTACGACCTACTGTTATAAAACTATATAGACAATCTAAATCAAATACATATTGACATGACACATTAATGTAAGTTTCTATACTTTGTTATCACTCAAGTTTACTATTAATTAAAAGTGACGGTGTTCCTTTAAATTCTCTAGAGACCATTTAATCCATTTCTACTGCTATCAGAAACACTGGTTGAGAAAAAAAATCAATACCCATTTGTGAATCTTGAGTATGTATTAAACAAGACACGTCTAACCAGTTCATTTGCACTTGAAAGCAGCCATCTGTAGAAGCCAGCTTTGCCTAAGCAGATATGATTGCTAATAATGTGATATCCCTGTAGACTACAAAGCCCACACAGAGCTATTCAGTATATAGTTCACAGCACTGGCATTAAATTAGTTATGCTGCACTGGTGTTAGAAATACATATACATACACACACATATACACCATCGTGCTCTCAAACCTAAAACCCACTTGATAATATGCAAGTAAATACTCATTGAATAAAGGAGCATAAAACAATTCACAAATGCTTCATTTTACTTGAAGTTCAAATTTTGAAATGTTAGTTTTGGAGGTTAAAAACCACATAAAATATTTAATGGTATTTTAGTTTGAAAAGCCAGAGTCAACCTTTTCCAATTTGTAGCATATAAGCTCCCAGTTTTAGTGTTAAATATTCTTACAAGAAGGAAATATTATTTCACTCTGTATTATAAAGTTTCTCTGAATTGTTAAAGAAAGTATTCACAGTTCATCTATCTTTCAAGTTTATTACAGCCTAGAACCTGTAATAGGTTTGGGAAAACAGGTTTATCATATAAGGATTGGGAAAACAGGTTTATCATATAAGAGCATAAAAAGGAGCATCTGCTCTCTAAATTCTACTAATGGAAAATATCTCCATTTTAATCTTTTTTACTCTATGAAAAAATATATATGCCAGTGATGTAGCATGTTGATAAATAAGCTGAGATTTTCTTCAAGTCTAATTAGTATTCTGACAAAGTTCAAGCTAATATTTGCATACCTGTCAATATTTATAGAGGACACCACTGAAAAATTGATGACTTTGTTTAGTTGTAAACTGTAACTTCTTCTACCCCTTAAAAAAAACAAAATGGCTCTCATTCGACACTGAACTAATTACACCAAGATTTTTACCCCTCTCTTCCTGGGTTCCAACGGTTCTATTAAAGTCCTGCTGCTCAGTAAGATCTTTCCAATGATATCAATGAGAATAAATCCCAAACGTGAAATAAAAGTCTTTGTATTCCTTTAAAATGATGAAAACAGTAAACAAGAGAGTGCTCTTTAAATTCCATGACATTTTCTATGGTCGTCTTCAAATGTTAAATTAAATTAAAGATAAAGAAGCTTTCCTATAGTGTCAGCTTAATCAGCTGATACACCTATCCATTAGAGATTACTAAACTTCTCTAAGTAAAATCTAGTAAGTCAAACAAAATTAATTTTGCAATGAAATTTACTTTTTAAAAAACCATTTACTACTCATGTATGACATTGCTTTACTATTAGTGTCTGCAAATCAAATTATACTTATTAGCTAAAATTAAGCACAAATTTGGACCTGCCCTCTAGTGTTGAGAAAGCAAATCAAATCCCCTAAGATCTTTAAACAACACAAAAGTAAAACCACAAAGTTCTAGCAAGAACAGGTTTTTAAAAATTAAGTTTCTATCCCTTTCCTTGAAGTAGTCATAAGCATATATTAATTATACTTCAGATATTCAAATACAGTAAGTGTAATTTTTCATTGGCCATTGGTGAACAAATCTTTGAAATTGTCTACAATTACATAAAACCAGTTTATTTTTATGTTCAATTACAGAATCCCCCCCCGACAAAACTGAGAACAATTCACACATTTTTAAAAAAGATCTAAAGGCATGTAAATATCTACAAGCTCCTAAATCAGTTGATAGTAAAACTAAACCCTGGTAATCTTATTATTATTTTAGACTACATGGCTTAAAAGACAATTATAATTCATTTTTACCATGAAAATCTTCACATCACTGGAAAAACTGTGAAATATGAAATAAAAAATAATTCCTTACCTTGACTGCATTTTCAGAACCTTCCTCTTTAAAATCTTCATATTTCATTACTTCAGCCATAATGAATCCCTTTTCAAAATCTGTGTGAATCTTTCCTGCAGCCTGAGGAGCCTTAGTCCCTTTCTTTGAAAAGAAAGACCAGAGAAAACTAATTGCATTTAAGATGATTGACTGAAGCAGAGTTTCTTTTCTCTGATCTGCAGTTGGGCTCAACTAAAACTTAGTTTAATATCAGTGAAGATATCAGGTATACAATTAGCACATTTCCAACACTGGGTACTATCTGTGCAACAGCTTTAGCACAGATAGATCAGTAGATATTAAAGAAGAGTAGCTTTGTTTTTCCTAACAGTCATCCACAGTTTTATTGATTTAGATGCAGTGGTCTGGTTTTGGTGTAGATTTCATTTCGATTTTCTATTCTTCACAGCGGAAAAAAATAAAGATTTTTAAGTAACTTTCAAGCTGAATTATCAAAGGTTTTAAAAAGATAAAAAGCCCTTAAAATTTCAGCTCATCTAAAGAACATATAAAAATCAATATAAAAGGGGACATTTTTAAGGCATGTCCAGTAAATCATATAATCTATGTTCAGCAAATAACTGTGAAATTCTCAAGAAATTTTGCTAATAAAATTTCTGAACATTTTGCATCACAGACGCTGCTTCTAATCACCATGAAAGAAATTCAAGTAGATATAGGAAGAGAAATGTCTTATAATTATCCCATATGTTAAATTACAAGGACATACATTCCAGACACACACAACCATGGAAAGAAATTTGAGAAATAACAGTGACCCAAAGGCTGCTTAATAAAGCATGTTAAAGTGCTAAGGAGTCTGACACTATAAAGCACAGTTTTTACAATAAAAGATGTATTGGGTTAATATGGCTACTCACTGATGCTTACCTGACTAAATATCTCTGCACATTAAATCATGGATACTTACAATCAGTCTTAAGAGAAACCAGCTTTCACGTTTTCAAGCCCAGAGAATGCTATCTTTCCTGCCTCACACACTTAAGTTTCACTGAAAGTTTTAAGGCTTTAAGAGACATCTTTAAAATATACAGTGAAAATAAACCCTGGCAATTTGTTTACCAGCTTGAATTTGATTTGACATTATTTTAAAAATCTATATAAAAGGACTTTGGTTAGAAGTCAATCAAACATTTTTTACAAAGGGGAGAGGAGATAAAAGAAAAGAGAATCTCACATTCACACAAGACATTTAACATTGTACTGAACTGCCTCCATGTTTCCATCGATATTAAATCAAAATAAATGTAACAATAAATCATAGCATTCACTGAAAACAGAAATAAAAGTAGCACAAGATTTATCATGTAGCATATATTAAAAAAGCATAATAAAAGACTGAATAGGACACTGAGTATTTCTGAAAGTTCTGACATTATTTTTATATTCTGTAACACTATTTAGGATTATATATATTTCAAAATATTTTTCAACAATAATTACTATAATACAATATATTTACATTTAAAAGCAAACCATTACAGTTCAGCTTCCATTGTCCTCTGGGAATAAATTAGTCATTCTCTCTAGTTGTATTCAGTATACATCAACATTTAAAATACATATCACATTTTCTAAAGAAGTAAGATTGAACATATAACACTAAAAACAAACATAACTTCTATGAATTCAAATAAAAAGACATGAATTATTACACATTGAGTTTAGTTTTTTGAGCCCAACTATGTATCTATGAAGAGCATAATGATGTCATATTGCTTTTATTGCTGAAAATGTAATCCGAGCAAAGCAAAGGAGGAAAGAACCACCCGCAACCCAAACAAACTTAGCGAATACAAAATGAAAAGCAACATCAATTTCACTGCAGACAAACCCAGTCACACAGATTAAGCAAGCACAATACTGGTGCGTCTTATCTCTGACCACAGGAGGAGGGTAGACAGATTCTACAGGATGAAGAAATTCAGACTATGTAATAGGCAGAATCAATTGTTACCTGCCTCAATCAATGCCGCTCCACTTTCACTGTTCAGCAGCTCACAAATAATTAAAGTTATCCTGGACAAAAACCTCATCTGTAATGACTAGCTAACCGCCACCATGACAAACTTCAAAGTCAGTGATATCAATCTGAATTCAATAGTGTGGAACTGGATATAGCTGATGAATAAGTATGAATCTTACCCTGATGGTCCATGCACGCACTTCATCTGGGCCTGCAGTGAAAAAGTATTCTAGTTGGAGTGCTGCAAACCCAGCCTTAATGATCTTTGGCAAAGCACTGAAATCAAATGAAACAAATTCACTCAACACATAAGTTGATTGTGCCAGAAATCGGTAGAGAGCTAAATTCATTTCAAGCAGAAAATGTTAGGTATTAACAAATGACCATTCATCTTTCATAATACACTTGAAGAGGTCAGAAAGCAAGTAACTATTTCTAAAAACATCCCTTCTAAGATTGTTTCTAATTGCATTAGTCCACAGATATCATTTTAAATTATTTACTATAAAAAAAGAAAAATTAGATCTACCCATCCTATCACTATTTTCGTTCAGTATTAATTATTTCCAGGGCCTGCCTGGGCCACGAAAGCAAAATTATTTGACTGAAATCCAATATTTAAACAATATATTACTGTTAGTCAGAAAAAATGATGGCAACTGATTCACCCTTTCCCTTCCCCCACTGAACATGACGAAAGAGTTTTGGCGATCATTCCTCCTCAAAAATATACATAACTAATACCTATGTTATAATTAAAACACTGTACGGAGATGACAGATGACAGTTAAAAACTTAATTTAAAATAAATCTTTTCACTCTGTCTCATGGTAAAGAAAGGAGAAGATTCCCTCTTTATAATGGTAATTACTCTGTCATTTATTATTCTATCAGCGCAAGCAATTAAATTACTGCAAGGAAATAGTTGATAATAAAGTGTAGGGAAAATGAATGCTAATTAACCTTTGTGTCATGTTCGCTTCCAGATACTTCTGTCTCTCCTCAGCACTCAATTCTTGCAACTTGAGTTCCAAGGCCCCACTAAAAGGAATGACCAAGGCACCTGGGTCATACTTGTCCACCCACTCTTTAATTTTTATCAACCTGTGGACAAAAAAGGGCACAACATTATCTTGTAGTGCATGCATGACTGTACCACATTCATTATTATCAAGTAGCACATACATATTCATAAGAATTGCACGGTTTTATGATGCCATCTTTTTGTGTATAGCTTTCCAAGGTCAAGGCATTAACAGGCAGCAATTGCTTCAGGTATACGCCGTAATATTTTACTGTAACCTAGTTTTCCTTTAGCACATTATCTATGGGCGCTATTATATAAATATTTTAAAACTTTTTCCAGTTACACTAAAACTGTTCAGCATTAACACCTGTGAATAAAGCCTCAATTGTATAATCTTATTTTCCCAACTTTACAAAGTAATTAAAAAAAAAAAAGAAAACATAAAGTTCTGCTTGTACAGGAATCACACCTAAAAATGCCAGCTAATTTTGAAGAGTCCTTCACAAATAAATAATTTGTCTCATTCAGCTATCTATATGCCTGGCTTAGTCCCTTCTTGGACTAACAGAACTCATAGTTGTTACTGGTTTTGAGGAAGATTTTTGCTAGCCAAAACAAGCATGTACAGAAATACAGATTCACAAATATAAAATAGATATAACATACACACTGTTCTTCTGAATCTGACTTTTGTAAGATCACAGATAATAGAACTGTAGAGGAAATAAATTCCTTTAATCACAAAGGATTTGGAAAGCCAAATCAGTTAAGAAACGGATACTAGCTGTTACCTGAAAAGACATTATAGAATCGTGTTTTATTTTGTGTTTTTTTTTTTGTTCCAAAGCATATTTTGGCAAAGCAGCAATTAGAACATAAATGAAAAAAGTGTAGTGAATATGTTAACTACGTTCAGACCCTACCACTTTCCTAGCTTTTTATTCATGGGCAGGTTATTGAGCCTTTCTAAACCTCAGTTTCTTCAACTGTAAAAATAGAGATAATAATAGTACCTATTACATTGTAAAGAACCTAGAAAAACAAAGCCTGCAAATAGTAAACAAATCATTAGCAGTAGCTACTATTACTAATTTTCATTCTTAATCATAGCATATACTCCTGTGATTCTGGAACTGAGTTTAGCATAGGAATGACTATAGATTCCACTAAAATTTATATTAAAATTTTAAAGTATGTCATTGTCTTACATAATTCCCCTAGCATCCTGTAATGAGACAAAGGTTTAATAGCTATTAAAGCAATGCTTGGCAGAAATTCTTTAAATAAACAATGTAAATGCCCCTTTAGGGGGAAAAAAACGAACTAAATCATAAATCCATCACCACTCAACTATCAAAGAAAATGGCAGGGGGATCAGAGTTATTAGAAAATCAAGGATAATGGCTCACTGAGCAGGATTTAGGATGGAAGAAAGGAATAAGAAATTCACACAATAGTTTATACATGTTTGTTATATAAAGGTAACTACTTATTTAACATACTATTAGTGGTTTTTCATCTTCATAGTAATGTTTTTTCTTTTGTTCACATCCTAAAAAATGGACCAATATGTAGGATGTATTTGAAATAAAGTATGGGTGTAAAATGCAATTCAAACCAGATATTTTCTTATCCAAAATTATGAAGGACAGGTTAAAGGGGGGGGATTTAAATTGGTACTTCTGCCTATAATAATATTATGGGATTCTAAGTTACTTTACAGACTTCCACTATTCAAACACAACTCTATATTAAAATGTTATCATCAACGGTTTAGTAATATACTTTCATTATGCAAGTCAGAATCAAATATCTAATTTTAAAAAAGCAGATCACATACCAAATACAGGTTCAAAGAAAGTGAAACAAAACAAGTCCACATATAAGGATAATATAGAAATACCATACACATTTTGTTTCATAAATATGGCCAACATAACTAATAAAATTAGAACTGTTATGAAACAACAAGGTAAGAAATAATTACTTTGGCTAAAACATCAATTCAGAATAACAATAGTTCTACCCTGTCATTTTAACAGCCTTTCCTGCAGAGTCCTCAGAGGGATTATTTGCATTCCTCAGGTGTTCTATTGTACAATTCAGATGAATAAAGACTTACAAATCATTCCTCTACCGCCAATGTGAGACTTTGATCTGGTGAATACACCATTGTACCTTAACTATAATTGGCAAAAAACCTGACAGTGTAGAGCATCACAAGCTTAATAACAAAGGAGAATATCTCAAAGTGTTGACAGATGATCTTCATAATGCAGAAGCAGAGCTGGTACATTTTAGCAGTAAATGAGCACCGAGGTCTAAAGGTCTCTAAAGTGACTGACATCAGACCTGCTATAGCCTCACTAAAAGAAAAAGGTACAGTAGCACTCTCCGTAAAGTGAGTTAGGCTCTTTGCCTGCAAGCTTCACTTTTGTGACTTTCACTGTCATAGAAAACACAGGGAAGATGAAAAGTGAGTTAGGTTCTTTGGCTGTCTGCTTTACTTTTGTGACTTTTACTATCAAACAAAAGTGAGAAATGTCCCAAAGTGATTTTTAATTACATATCTGAAATAAGCTTTGGTTAATTAAAAAATATAACTCAATTTCAAGATTGTAGAACAAAATGTATATAATATATCTATTAGGTCTGATGGTTACAAACGTGTGATAATGAGACCAAGATCACAAGTTTGAACCCCATAGGGACCAGTTACCTTTTGCAGAAAAATGTCTATTCTCTTGCTACAAACCATACCCAAACTATAGCTAGTCATCTCAAAAATGTGTGCTACTGGCACATGAGGGCTATAGAAAATTAAAGTTGAGTTCAGCATCACTACTACAAAAACAATTCCAAGCACAGTCTGTCAAAGTGCCTGAATAATCATTTCCAGGTACAAGTATTAGAAAATGTCTAAAGAAGTCATCCAATTATTAGTAACCAAAATAATGATGGTGATATTGTCATAGAATATCAAATTATATGGGGGGTAGGGAGGAGAAGAACAGTAAAGACAGCAGACTCCCACAGAGTTACACTGTGAAGACTTTCACAGTATCCATTTTGCAAATCTATATGAACAGATTATTCCTTCCCTATAAGGAGCTGAAGCCACATCTGACTTCCTCAGTCTTAAGGGGAACATCAGTTGAGTTTTCTCCCTGGTAGTGATTCCACAGCAAGGGGACAAAAAAAAACCAGTCAGTTTTAAGACTAAAAGAGTGATCCTTTGAGATGCACTGGCAGGTGTATAGTATCTATAGAGTCTTTGGCAGAATAAGATAGTTAGTACTAAATTAATATTAAATTTCCAAAAATCCTGTCTCAAATGTACTTTTAGTCTTTTTCTTTTTTGGGTAGAGATAGGGATCTTGCTATGTTTACCAGGCTGGTCTTGAACTCCTGGGCTCAAGTGATCCTCCCACCTGGGCCTCTCAAAGTGCTAGGGCTAAAAGCATGAGCCACTGAGCCCAGCCTACTTTTAATCTTACAATTCGATTCCAAAATGTGATTTTCCTAGGGCGAGTTTACATTGTTAATTTCTTACCCCAGATACTAATTTTATTACTAAAAATTCTATTTGTTTCTTTTTCAAATCTACCTGCTCTTTTTGGGTGACATTTTACTTTTGTTTAATAAATTATTTGTCCCCCTCAACATTAATTTACAAGCTCCTTTCACTGCTTTGACTTCTAGTTTCTTGGCTATAATTCCTTATTGCCCCTATTTGTCACCTGCTAACAACCTCTCAGGATAGGTGGTTCCTGCATGTGTGCTATATTCATGTGTGTGTGTGGTCATTTTGGCAGCTGCAGTTATGTTCCAGGTACAGTTATGTTCCTGGGTTGAGATGTATCTGTGGGGTAGTTTTGTGGTTGCTTCTTCTAGTGAGAGATCGATGAAGGGTCCCAGGCTTTGGGGTAGTTTCTATGTTTTTAGGTTTAGTGTTTCTGACTAGGGTATGGATAATGTCTCTTGCAGTACAGTCCCAGTCTCTAATTTCCTGAGAATAACTTCATTCCCTTGTTTGGAAGGAGTTGAGGGGTATCTTTCTAGTATCTGATCATGGCAAAGACAGCTTCTTCTAAGCATCATGAGTGAGCCTAGTTCCAGTACTTAGAGCCTGGAACTAGTACCTTGACTCTTATTCCTAAACAGACACTGAAGTCTCTAAATCACATATAAGTCATCTCTCCTTATCTGAGGATAGGTTTAAAGACTCTCTGTGGATGCCTAAAACCTCAGGAAATACCAAACACTATATATACTGTGTTTTTTCCTTATTGAGAACTTTCCACCTTTTCACTTAAAGGAAGCACTTTACAGCTTCTCCTTGGCATACCCAAATTGTCAGCATCACCACTCTTGTGCTTTGGGGCCATTATTAAGTAAAACAATGGTGACTTGAACACAAGCACTATGACACTGTAAAAGTCTGATAACCAATATGGTTATCAAGTGACTAATGGGCACAGTAGCATCCACAGTGTGAATATGCTGGACAAAACTATGATTAATGTCCTGGGCAGGATGGTGCTAGATTTCATCATGCTACTCAAAATGGTGTGCAATTTAAAACTTAGGAATTGCTGATTTCTGAAATTCTTCATTTAATATTTTCAGACCATAGTTGACTGTGGGAACAGAAACCACAGGAAGCAAAACTGCAGATAAGAGGGAACTACTGCGTTAGCCCTGCAATATCAGCTTCATTCTCTATCGTCACTGAATTCTCTCCTTGTTGCCAGCACCTAGAGTGCCTTTTCTTGCTTTCAAGTTCTGCTGTGTGCTCTAAATGGTCCACATCACCATCAATACCACCTTTTTCTGGTTATCTGGTACTTCTATATTTTAGGAACAAGAAGAGAGCTTGATGTTTGGCTCTGTTCACTACCTTCAGTGGGAGTGTCCATAACAATTAAATGCTCATTTTATGGTGTTCTACTGCATTAGCTTTCAAGTTTTTTGGTTTTTTTTTTACCACTCCTCAGAGTAAGAAACAGATTTTGCAGTGACTCAAACATATGGTATATATGCATATTGTTTTCACACACATTTCCAAGCTGGAACA